GGTATTCGGATCTGGATGAAAAGAACCGGGTTGGATATGATCATGCCTTGCGGGTATATCTGTGGATGAGAGACGATGTGCGACGGATCCGGGGCGATGTTGCCTATATCGCTCTTGTGATTGCGACCTCGGTGTCGAAGTATGCCCGTGGCTTCATTGTGGATGAAGACGATCCGAGGGAGATGTTGAGGTTGTTGAAGGGGCCGTTTGAACCTAGCTTTTAGTTGTCCTGCGTCTCTGTTTGGATGAGGTTATAGTTGCGTTTGTCACATCAGAGCAAGAGAATGTATATCCTTAGAAGAGCTATCTTCTAGTATAATGGCATACTGACAATCTGCGAGGATAGTAAAGGTCTACATACAACTACTTCGTGGACCTGGACACAATCTCCTGCAGCTCCTCCTTGCTAAGCGTTTTCAGTCCCAGCAGATCATTACTGAGACTCTCAGCAGGGAAAAGACTGCCGCACCCTTTCCCGAAAATGGCTCGCCTGAGGAAATTGAACACAAACACCCCGGGGTTAGGGTTCGGTTTGGCGAGCTCGGCATAACCCTCTTCCTCCAGCTCTGCCGTGCTGATGGACTTTGTGGGCAACTGCTTGCCCGAGAGCTTCAGCAGCTCGCTCTGAGAGACATCAATTTCACGGATGTACACTGTGCGATTTGTCGTGGCCTCGAGGTTGTTGATTATGCCAACAACCCCCTTGGCTGTTCCCGCGAGCGTCGTCGCGCTGAACTTTCGTTCACCCTCATCATATAGCTCTACTTCTGGACCCCGCCAGTTAAGCAGGAACTCGACTGTCAGACCCCAGTCGAGGAAGGGGCCATTGATCAGGAGGGTGTAGGAGAACGAGCCTGCAGACTCGGCTGCTTTCTGCTGAAGGTATTTCTGGATGGCGACCTTGTCCTGGTAGACTGGGAGCTTGGCTGCAGTGGCGTTGGTTGTGTCGGAGCCAAACTCTGAGGGGATAAAGCGCTGGACCTGGGCTGCGATGGCTGCGTCTATCAATTGGAGATGAATGTCTCGGGGGATAGCTCCGAGGGTGTTGACGACTACATCTTGGCCTTCCAGGGCTGCTGTCAAGGAGTCCAAGGAGGTGTAGTCAACTGGTACCACACGAGCTTGGCCGAAGTTGTTGTTGCTTCTGTCACTTTCAGCCCTGGTCAAGACAGTCACCTCGAAGCCGGCGCTGAGCAGGGCGTTGAGTACAGCCGGGCCAAGGTTGCCAGTGGCCTGCAAACGTATGTTAGCAACGCTTGACAATAGAATCTGTTGGTTGATGTGCTTACTCCCGCAATGGCTACTTTCGGCGACATTTGGCAATGATATTTGTTAGTTGGTGAAGGTTAAAAGATAGATGAGTTGAGGATTTCTCAGACAAGGCTGTTCCTCCGTATGGAAAGCAATATAGCTTTATAACTTGTCATGTGTAGCACCATGTCATCTCATCATTCCCGTGAATGATGCCATTCAATATCACTATCCCTATCCCTGGATTTGTCAACCCATGGCCGATATTGTCATTTTCCGCCTAGTAAAACCGCAGGATATCTCGGATCCCGATTGAGACGTCAGAATCCAACGTCTCCAGAAGGGATGTGACAGAACCTGATTGCTAATTAATCTCCAAGATGACGTGTACAGCCCATATCATCAGACATCAGTATGGTTAAGGTGACGGGCTTATTCCGCTCAGAATTACTAAGGATACCTGATGCTTTGTAATCGCTTCGGCTGGATGATTTTCCGGTAAATCAGGCTCCCCGCTTTCTGGCCAATCAACTTTCATGTTTGTCCTCCAGCAGATTTCCCAACCTCGCGTGCATTGTTCCATTGCATACATGCAATCAATGATCACCTGTCTGCAGAAGAACTATCGCCCTTACGAAATCCTGCATTGACTTGGCTAGAATGGGAGTCACTGCTCGGGAGTGTTATCATTATGTCCGTTAGCACGGCAGCCCATTTGCGACTCGGAGATAACTCAGTCAGACGACCCCTGAGATCAAAACGGGGTTGTAAAACCTGCAAGTTGGTGCCTCCGTTCTTCTCACAGAAAGTGTAATTATTAAACCGCATTCCAGAGTTCGAAGGGTCAAATGTGGAGAAGAAAAGCCTCATTGTCTCCGATGCACGAGCACTGGTCGCAAATGCGAGTATGAAAGTACAATATCCTCCACGGTTTTCTCCTCAGCTTCTGCAATATCCATCCTTGGCAACTCTTTTTCATTATCCTCAAACACAGTATGGCGAGAGCGTCGCGCTTTTGCCTACTATTTCCAGTACGCCGCAGCGTCCATTGGCGGTGGACTGGATGTTGATTTCTGGCGCACGATTGTCCCGCAGGTTTGCCGGAGTGAACCTGCTGTGTGGGATGCCATGATCGCTATAAGCTCACTGTTTGAGAATCCTGATCCCGGCCAGGATCTTGTCTCTCGACATCGGAATCATTCTCGCGATCTCAACCAGAACCAACAAGACGCGTTGGAGTGGTATTCCCGCTCAGTGGCTGCGGTTCGCCGGGGAATTGAACGCGGGTCTGTAGACACCTTTGTTGGACTCATCACATGCGTCTTATTTATCTGCATCGAGGCCATGTTAGGAGGTATGGAGGAAGCTTTACGCCTGTATGGTCAAGGTGTGCAGCTCATTCTCGCTTGCAGGGCCATGAGCGCAACCAAAATCTCCATATTAAAGGATACAATCATCCCGATTTTCGTCCGATTAGGAGCAGTCACTCTCAGTGCTGGCGTTCTAATGAGCAATCTACTTCGAGTGACTGAACTTGCATCCACACACGATTTTGTCTCCCTCAAGTCTGCTCGGGAGGCCATCGTTATCCTCGCTATAGAGATCCCGCTGTTTGAATCAGCTTGCGAAGAGTATCTAATAAAATCGCATGCCTGCTGTATATCCCAAGAAATGATGGAGCAGCGACGAACCCTGTCAGCTAGGTTACGGAGCTGGCACACTGCATTTACCAATCTGATGGAATCTTGTTCCACAAAAGACCCGTCGCAAGTCAGTACCGGCGCTCTTCTCCTGTCTTACCATGAAATGTTATTCGTCATGCTCGGGGTCTGCATATCGCCAGCGCGGACCACCACTGATGATTATCTGCCAAATTTCCAAACGATAGTTGAACAATCTAGCATTGCGTTAAGCGGTTCAGCGCGGCATGATGGCACCCAACCACCATTTACTTTTGAACTCAGCGTTGGTCTTCCGCTTTGGTTCACATGTGTCAGGTGTCGCGAGCCCACAATTCGACGGACAGCACTCGCTCTTCTTCGTCAAGCGCATCAGGTAGAGGGGCTTTACAAGCGCGATATCGGCGCCACGATGGGCGAACGAATCATGATGTTAGAAGAAATGCACGGGGAGGCAGTAAACGCAGGTCAAAGCAGCCACTTCAGCATGGATTTAAAACTTGGCGCAAGCCCTACACTTGACTACATGGAAACCAGGGCACCAGCAGTGCTCGTCCCCGGCGAAGCACGCATTAAGCCACTCGGTGTGTTTCGCCCGCGCGACGGTTATCCGCCTGGAACGACGGAGGAGGACATGGCCAAGTTGAGCCGAAACCGTGACCAAACCTTTCTGCACTTTTCACGGAATGAGCGCGATCCGTCTAATAACACGTGGCAGACGATCTATGGATATGCTCCTATCGATTTTAAAATCCTAAATGGTTGGATGAGAACTGAAGAGATAGAAGAAGTAATCTGAGTGCTCCAGTCTCCGCATAATCACAGACTCTAGTGCGTTAATGCAAAGTGCTGCAGCCTTACATTGGCTTAGTACTCACTTTGGGATTAGCTTATTTTCTACATTGATTGCAATGGCATCATCGATCTCTTATCTTGCGCTGAATACCTGGATTCCTGGATCCAATTGCTATATTCTCGTCAGTTCTGCTTGCAGTTAGCACTCCTTCTGGACTGCTCACACGGTCCTCGATCTAGGCTCGATAGACCTTATCAGCAGACGCCGCGACCAGACATGATGCTATCCAGCCATGGTCCACGCAGCCTAAGGCTCTTAGAAGAGACATATACCACTATATGGAGGATTCAGGCTATACACCTGCGAGAATGAACTTTGAGATCGCTTTAGGCACTATCATGTCAGACATCCTAATCTTACCTTGATGTTAGCCATATCTCAGTCGAGTCGAGTCACATTCCTGACCATGCGAAACTGTTGTTCCCTCGGCCCTGCGAAGATTATGATATAAATGGCTGACAGGAGATCCTGACTTTGGCTGTGCAAGTGCCTGTGGAGCTACCTCACTACGGAGAATTGTTTCAGACACAGCCTCCACCAGTTCCTCCAGTCCTGGGTCGGTATTTAGCCTAATGCAGATACTGGTAGTGAAGGGTCCACGGTACCTGTAGGCTAGTGGAACCAGCTCGATCAATCACCAGACCATGTGGTGCTGATATGACAAGCTAAAGGTCCTGACCCAACAGTACCTTGATGGATAATGCTATCATACCTCCAACTCTTAGCCTATTGCACCGAACCTAACCCCAGGTGGAGGTCAATCAAGTGCAACCCTGCGCTATTAATGAGGGATAGCTAACCGCAAACGGCACTATATTTCGCCAAGTATCAGTAAACCTTCCAACTGCACGGCTCAATGAACACTTTGATATACACTGTAAGTCTGTAAGTGTCTCGGTTTGAAGTCAGCGTTTATAAGCGTCATAGACAGAGAGGCGCAGCGGCAGAAGGCACTAGGATAACCTTATTGCTATTACCAAACTTCATCAGCAACGGTCTTGGATTTCTAATTATTAGAAATGATCTGAATTGTATACCGGGGTGGTAGTTAAATGTGCAATATATATATCCCCTCCCCGCAGTTGTCAAGTTGATTAAGTTATAGCAATCAAGCAACTGCAGTACAAACTACAAACTACAAAGTACAGCCATCACAACCCACATCTACCTGTGTATACAGTATACGTCTAAGATACCATCATCATCACAACACAATGGCGCAGACAATCAAAACCGTCGCTCTCGCAGGGGTTCGTCACTTCATCTTCCTTCCCCTCATCATGTGCTAACTTAGCTAGGCAACCGGCAACGCAGGTTCCAACATCCTAACCGCCCTCCTCGACACTGGTAAATTCACCATCACCGTCCTCACCCGCAAACCAAACCCCAACCTCCCCACCAGCGTAACCGCCCAAGTCGTCGACTTCGACTCCCTGGACTCCCTAACCGCCGCCCTAAAAGGCCAAGACGCCTTCATCGACGCCACCTCCACCCCGGACCCCAGCGTCGCCATCCGCCTCATCGACGCATCCGTCGCCGCTGGCGTCCACCGCTTCATCCCCGCCGAGTTCAGCATCGACCCCACCGCCACAAACTGCCGCGCCCTGCCCGTGTTTGCCGGCAAGGCAAAGGTCAACGACTACCTCCGCCAGGTGGCCGCCGACGGCCGGATAACCTACACGAGCATCTCGACCGGGGCCTTCCTCGAGTTGAGTCTGCGGACGGGGTTCGTGAACATCGACCTTGCCAAGAAGCGCATCGATCTGCTGAATGACGGGTCGCGTCTCACCCCCTGGACACTGCTCTCGTCCGTAGGCAAAGCCGTGGCGAATGCTCTGCTGCGCGCGGACGAGACCAAGAACAGGACGTGCTACGTGTGCAGTATCATGAAGAGTCAGAAGGAGGTGGGCGAGCTGGCGCAGGAGGCTCTGGGCAAGGAGGGCTGGAGCGTGCAGAGTCAGGATGCCGCAAAGGCGCTGGAGGGGGCGATGGCGCAGTTCAAGGTCGGGAATGTCACGGTTGAGGTTATTGGGGCTATGATTCGGTGGACGCTTACGCAGCCGGAGAGCGCGGCTGGCTGGGCCAAGAATGATAATGAGTTGCTGGGGGTTCCGACTATGACGGATGAGGAGGTCAAGCAGTTGATTAAGCAGATAGTGGAGGAGATGAAGGCATAATCTTCTACTTCTGTTCTTTCTTTTTCTGTCTACTGCACTTGTCTATCATCTCTAATGATCAAGATACGAAATAGAAGTTGATTAACAGCAATGTCCCCCAAAGTGTAGCAAAGACCAACGGGGATTGTGGAGGGTCCATGTCTGTTGCAGTAGGGTATACTATGAGGCATGTAAGAGTTTTACGACTATTGTCTTCCAATAAGCAAATAGCCAGGCTACGGCTCTCATATTCGCATAGTCCCTTCCACGACGCACTTAGGCCAGTCCAGACGAGTACTCGTCAGTCTAGGGTTTATGAATCGTAGCGGATGGCACACAGAGGCGGTTTAATACCGACGCTTTTCTGCTGTACGGTTGCTTTCTCAATGAGGAAAGCGTGACGCTCCAAATACTGGAATCATATCATCCAACTACTTAAATATGAGACTTTTGAAGACCTATATTGGTGTAATCTTCCAGAGAACCATACGTCAATCAAAGAGCGAGTTCTTCTGGAGCCTATATGCTTGGATTGAATTATGACATGTCAGGGTATACCCTGGAGGTACGGTCACCACAAGACGTGCAGCCTCATTCCCTTCTCAGGCTAGCCATATGACTCTAAAGGTAGATTATCTGAATGCAAGCATCCACCGTGCCAGTGCCTGTACCATTTTCGAGAGCATAATATGTCAAATTTGAAAGCGTCTTTCTGCATGCCCGCTTTTGTCCATTGCTCCAGTTGATGCCGCAGTGCACGGGCTATTCCCCCGGGCAATTTCTTCTCAACTCGATCAACAAAGCACTTGTTGAGTTTTGAAAAGAAGAGGTCGATGTCGTCAAATTCATAGGCGGTTCGGTCGCCATCGTCTCTGAAATATACCCCTGTGTCTGAGGGAATTGTCCAATCTCGGACCCTGCCGCATTTTCTCGAGTGACGCAGTTTCTTGGATGAGACATTCTGTAACCGACAGAAAGGTAGGGAAACAATCTGGTGGTCCATGAATTCATAATCGAACCACGGCGCATATGTCAGACTTCTCAGTGGTTTCCCATGCTTATGCCATTTTCTTCCTTTGTCTGCTGCATGAAGAAGGTGGATATCCATGGTTCGTATCGACTTTGCCATACTGAGAAAGTCCACTAGCACCTGGAGTCTTTCGAACAGTAGTATCAGTTGGCCAGGACTTGAGGGTTTTGGTGGCAGGATGTCGATGCGCACATGTACCCTATGGAAAGGGAAATTGTTCAAACCGAGATGGAATGCGCGGCCCATACAACCAAGGGTGAATCTCAGCCTGAATTTTCGGAGTCTACAGCAGGTCCATGAAGAATCGAGCGGATCAATGGTGAATGAGACAGTAAGGTTGGAATACAGATGATGCGATATCTCGTCGTGTAGTCTCTTGCTGGTGCAAAGGATAGCAAGCGAAGTGTTTCGTCTCGGCCATTCCATTTCAGGATAACGTTTGGTGTCCGCATACGGGAGTAGCCAGTCCCATATCCAGAGCCGCAGCTCAGGTGGCAGCTTTGCAAAATATCCGAGTTCAGTGCGTTGGGACGACATAACGTGTGATAGAATGGGATGATGGATGAAAATAGGCGATGTTGCGATACAGATTTATAGTGCTTTGGATGACTCACTCGTCAAGTATAGAGAATGACATCGAAATCACATCAGCAACGTTCTTGAAGCTTTCATCTTAGGCGTGTGATCTTGTCTACCGTGGAACGAGACGCTGTACTCTTAATCTCTATTTATAGACAATACTCAACGTAGTCTTCGAATCTCCCAGTTGAGGTGCTCTTTGACCAATACATGATGCATTAAAAGAAACAGGCACATTAGTCCAAGCCTGTGCAGTGACTGGCGTGTGAACTTGACCCTCCATCACTGTCAGCACACCACATATTGGTGCATGTGTGGTCTCAGAGCCTCTACTCGAAACCGGGACGTTAGCAATGTCAGTTGCTTGAACTAAATGCATTGCTTTCCGTCAACAGATTCGTAGGTCTCCCAAGAAACTTTCACGTTTCAACATTCGTCTGTCTTGCAAAGCAAACCACAATCCAAGAAGTGGGGAACTGAGAATATAAGGCAATTTATCACTCTGTACCCTAAGAGAGTCCGCATGGACTGAAATGTGTAGTATTATTGTTGATTATCTCGAGTGACGACCGTTCAGCTTTGAAATTCAATATCAAAGAAGGCAGCCAGCACCTCAACTATGTATATTTTACTATAGAGCTGTTTGGAATCTTTATTACACAATACTAACTGCTACGGGCTGTTCTTGATATGACTATTGTATAATATCTATTGGCTTATTCAGGTCATGGTATAGAGGCGTACTTTGATTTATATTAGCCATAACGATCATTCTGAATATAATTCTACGACGGGGGTAGGGTTACCCATTGAGTTCAGCAACACTTCCAACCCATAATGTAATGGCAATGGGGAAACAATGACAACTGCCTGGCAGTATTTCTCTCAGAGCAAGTCGTATCTAGGCTTCCTAAAGACAGACTCTAATGTGCATAAGACTCCTGATCCACCATAGCAGATGGATGTGGTTGGAGATTGTGAAGCCCTGACAGATTATTGCATACTCAAGAGACACGGCCTCTTGGTATTCAGACATTGTCTTGAATGATTTGTCTCATCCTCTTAATTTATTCACTCTTCAGTATATGCCTCAAAGAATAGCCATTGGCAATAGTGAATAGACTTTATTCAGTCTCTAGACGAATAAACATAGATGACCGGCTTATATAGAGATCCACACTGTAAGTCTGAATGGATTATTGATGAGCATACATGTCTTAGAGCTCATTGTCAGGGATCACAATGGCATTGCTTGTTAACATGTATACCAATCCATCGGTAGCCTCAACATATCCTGCTTCAATAGGAACACCTTGTCAGTCACTCGGTATAAATACATTGCTCTCCGTCAACGACACTTTTCAGCAGTAGATCCCCAAGAACCTCTCTATCATCTCCATCAAACAAGGTAAGCTCACAGATCTCCTGTATATCGACAGACAGCTAATTGGGGAACAGCCTTACCACTTTTGCCGGACATCACTTCTAGCAGCCAGAATGAGCCTTTAACCTGTACGCATTCCTTTGACTAACTGTGTGCTGTGCGCTTGCTGATTTTCCCTGGCATCCAAGTTTGATACTCTCTTGACCTTTCACGACGAGTACCGGGCCGCGAGTGCTCAAGACTACGGGGGCGCCGTAAGTGGCGTGTGGGACCTCATTCTCAACTATTACTTCAACCAAAGGAATGGGTTTGTCCACAGAACCCAGGACAAGGTGGAAGGCGGGTATGTCGATATGAGTAGCTACCAGTGGGTAGTTCGGCCAAACCAACCTAGGCGTGTGAGGACACCATTCCTTGTGACGCAGTGCAAGCGCACTGCAAGAGAGAACGACCAGGCCACATGGGAGGGAGGCTTGGATCAGCTGAAATGATACATGAGATACATGGTGTCTCAACACCCATGGAGGCATCCCCAATACGGCATTATCGCCGTCGGCAGATATGCCGAATTCTACAAGTGGGACGCGGCCACATCTGCCCCAGTGCTCTACAACGGCAGATATGACATCTTGGGCAATTCTGCTACTGTTCATGAGAAGCTCATGGAGATCCGGGCGGAGCGCCTCGCTGGGCTGTAGTTGATTTGTGGTGGCAACCATGGTTGAAATGGCCGACCTCTAGCAAGGACCATTAGATAGACACATATCAAGATTCAAGCAATCTTCATAAGGCACCGTACCTTCGTAGTCACTAGCATGAGTGACTCTGGATGTGGTGTCTAGAGATAATATCCATATCATATCGGATAGAATGGTCATATTCCTTTCTTTGGTTCTCACATTGAAGTAGAACCAGAGGAACGCGATTGCTTCCCATTGTCACCATGACATCAATATCCAGATATTATCAGACCTTTCCCTTCGAGTACTTCAAGTTTCAAACCAAATAGCCACAATGGGAGGCTACTACTACACTGGCTGTGTCGTATGTGGCATTGAAGCCGGGCTTAGCTCCTGTCAATCGATTTGTGCTCATTACAGGCATTTGAAGGAGTCGGGTCCAGGAGCCCAGCTGCTTTGGCTCGATGCAGACGAAATGGAAAGAACGTATCGCTTCCGGGAGAAGAGAGACTGGATGGATACTTTACGTCTAAGTCGGTTTCCTTGAGTCGTTCAATCGATTGAGTTGGGCTGATATCACACACAGTCTATTTTGATCGATCGAGCCAGGCGTACCGACTATCCGGTATTGCACATCTTGCAGATCCCAAAAAGACCTACTTTAAGGTTCCGATCGACAGGAACCAAGCATGCATTGGCTTAGCCAATCGAGACCCATCCGGTCTCGTCAGGTACCACCCTCAGAATGTCGCTTTGTGGTCCGAGTCATTGGCTAAGCCGGTGGACTGGCGTGAATTCGCCTTTGCGGTTCATGCCTCATGTTGGTCATTGACCCTGAGAATTGTTGATCCGGACGCGGAGGATCATCTCCATACCATCCTTGCCGTCTCATTAAAGAGGATGACGGAGCTCCACACCGAGGAGTTTCGGGTTCTGGATTCATTGAACAAGAAGCGACGCGCACAGGGTACGGGTAGCCGGCATATCCGGGACTAAATCAATCAATCAATGGAAAAAGGTGGCTGAGTCTGATCTGTTTCAACCGTAGATCCCTTTCGAAGCCCAGTCGTCGGGAGGCTGATCGAAGAATGCAAGCGACGACGGGCAGAACCTGCTCCGGCTCTGCGCCGGTCCTCCCGAGTGAGGTCCAGGATACCGCGGCTAAACCTGCCTTGCGACGTTCTCTGCTTGATTCTCAATAAATTGGACTATCTGAGCGTCCGACGGTTGTGTCAGGCCGTAGACTGCCCCCCGATGGACAGCTATTGGCGCTGTCGAGCTGCTCCTCATCTCTTTGAGCTGGACGAGATCCGACATGAGGACGTTGACTGGCGGCACCTGTGCCTCGAGATTGAAAAGCTACGGAGGAGTAGCGAGACCTTTTGGGCTCGAGATCGTACACTGAAGATACTGCGTCATAACAAGGATGCTTACTTGCGGAATTTGAAGAAGGCACAACCACTCACCCCGAAGGACGTTATCAATCATATCCAATTTGGCGTGGAACGTGGTACAGTGCTTAATCGTATATTCAAGTATCCTGTTGAGTTTAACTAGGATATAAATCTATTGGTAGTAGACTGTTTGTAGTGGATGCTACACCTGCACTCTAGCCAGTGAATTCTATTCTTCCCTTTGGCAAGTTTCGTAGAGCTAAGCAGACAGGCTCTTACCTCATGCTGAGTCATGTTGAACAGAGATTGAGTCGACAAGTGTTGTCATAAACTCTTCCCTGTTTCATCTTCTGCTGGATTTCGAGAGAAACCTATCCTACGGCCCTAGGCCCTTGTGGAATGGAATCTCATCCGACTCCAAAGACATCCCATCTGCATCCTTACCCACAAGATAGCCGCTGACTCGAGTCATTTGGATATACAACTCAGTCCCAGCGTCTTCTACAGATTGCCAACATTAGCTTACTCAAAATATCTGTGGAGAAGACCACAATCGCTGCGGAGTTTACCAATAATACCATGTCAAGTTGCGATGCGATACCTCGCCCTAAATGTGCAGGGTGACACGGATCGCTAAGCAATTAGATTGTGAAAGCACTTGACGAGTTTGTGAAGCATGTGTCATTGATAGAGATGCAGGGATCTTCTCTTTCGCAACTGTTCTTTGGCCATAAGCGAGTTATAGATATTCTTACTGTAGACTATACGATATGAATCGCTCGAAGAGGCCTCATCCTACCGAGTTATTTTGCAGAATCATTAAAGACAGTCGCCATTCTGTACAATACCGATACAAGAAGCATGTTTCAATCCGGCAAAGGGTATATCATATAACGCACAAAAAAAGTCAAAGCTTCACCTGAGCAGACGGCTGCTGGCCAACGACAGTGCCATTCGATAACTTCAATCCGATGGGAAGACCTCGGATATACTGCTGCGTGAACGGCTTTCCCCGGCGTTTGGCCAGAGCCTCCTCGACATCCTTGTACATGTCGTATCTGAGTCGCAGGTTAGACAGTGTGCAGGCAACCTACTAACAGTCACGACTCACCCATTCATCTCCTCGATCGTCAGCTTGTCCTTCTCGCTAGCCACTTTGTACTTTGGGATATTGGTGTTGCTTGAGAAACCTGTCGACGTTAGCAATCGACTTCACCTGTGAACCGGAGGCGCCTACCAATCCGCTCGTTGATATTGACTGCTGCCTTGGCCGACGCCGCCTGCACCTTGGTAACACGGGGTAGTCGAATCTCCTGGTATGCCTGCAGCGCCTCGGCGACATTGCCGTCAAAATAGTCCGGCCTGAAGAGGATACCCAGCGCAGCGGCGTCCTCGATAGCCATGCAGGCGCCCTGACTCTGATGCGGCATCATCTACAGCCTATCAGCCGAGAGCATCCTGACCGGAAACGGGGACCAACGTACCGGATGACCAGCATCGCCCAGCAGACACACCATATTACGGACCAGATACGGGTACGGCTGATGCAACCACAGCCGCCACGGCCGGATCTCCTGCCCGATCGCCAGATGCGCCCGAACCTGCTTGTCCAGCTCGGGATACGGCGCCAGCAGCTCCTCAACCGGCCGGTCCGTGCCGCCCCAAGTGTGGTTCGTGAAATCGCCCTTCTCCCGCGGGAAGAAGCAGTAGTACGAGAGCAGGCTGCCGCCGTTGCAGGGCGACAGCACAATCTTGTCCCAGCTGTTGTCCTGCCCGCCCCAGTACTCCAGCGCGCTGTGCTGCGAGTAATCGACCAGGCCGAGGCGGACGGCGTCCTCGGTGCGTACGTTGGCGTGCAGACAGCTCGAGTCGGCGGGTTTCTTCTCCGGCTTGAGACCGATGATGCTACGCACGGCGGAGCCGATGCCATCTGCGCCGACGATGAGGTCGTGCTGCGCGGTTTTGCCGTTGGCGAAGGTGATCAACCCCGTCTCGAGGTTGATGTCCTTGCACTGCCTCACTTAGTACCATATCACTGTGCTGGTCAGAAGTCCTACCTGATGGTCCACTAGCAGCTTCACCGGCGTCCCCTGCCCTTCCTCTTGCATCGCGCAGTCCTTCAACATGGCATGCATGTACTGCCGATGGAACATGTAGTACACGTACCCCCATCGCTCCTCATACCCATCCAGATCATACACGCTAACGGGCTCCCCCGTCTTCCAGTCGCGGTTGATCAGCTTGCGCAGCAAAACGGGGTCCCCCTTGGCGATATCCACCTTCCACTCGTGCAGCCAGCGCGTTCCATTCGCCGCGCACGAGATCGAAGCGCCCACTTCCCCGGCAAAATCATGGCGTTCGTAGATGGTTACCTCGTGGCCTGCGCGACGCAGCGCAATAGATGCTGCGAGGCCGCCGATGCCGCCGCCCACGACGCCAACGCTGAGTCGTCTCCAGCCTGTGGCGGTAGATCGCATGTTGCTCGCTGAGTCTGTGTCTGCCTGTTGCAGTCGCATGTTGAGTGCTTTGTTGCGAGTATGAAGATTCGTTCTAAAGATCTAGTGACGAGGTCTTATACTTCATCCGTTCATCATGGCCGCCGCGAACCGCAGTACTGTGTGCGGGCCGCAGACCGGTGCACTATCCGCAGTGGCTTGGTAGCTCAGAAGAGAATCAAGAACACCGTTTCTATCCGCGTTCAGCTAATGATATCTTCGATTCGGACTGATGTGAGGTTCCTCTATGGAGGATAAGCTCTTTTCTGTGAACCGTGGCTCGATCCGCATACTTTTTGTATCCGCCCCGCGACTCGCCCCCGCATCCGCTCCGTGGGCGTGTGATCAATGATGTCTGGGACTGATATCATCGCTGATGCATTATTAATATTCTGATATGGATTGATAAGATGTCTGTTTGAGTTTTGATTGCTCCGGTTGTTATGCTCCTTTCCTGTGGTAGATGGAGCTGGCTTCGGAAGAGGGATCAAGTTATGTATACATCGCTCGTCAATCTAGACCGACCTTAGCGCATTGTAGAAGGGATGGTAATCCTTATAGGCAGCGCTACAAGGCAAGACGTGCTTGATTCCAAGCCAAGCTTGGTCTCTACGTTGGCGATGCACATCTTGTCTGACTTTGTCTAGAATTGCACCTGTATAATGCCTCTTTCAATGGAAGGAGTGGTATTCAACCATGAGATATTGCTAATGAAGTCGCTGATACAAGGATAGTTCAACATACAGCTTAGCTCTACAGAATAGCCGTCGCGTTTGCATGAGATCCGACACCACCTAAATCACAGTTAGTGATCAGTCAAAACCACATCGGTCGAAGGCAACACATACCAGCAACATTAGCCGGAGCGCTCGTCATGAAGAATGTCCACTTCTTCCTTTCCCGGCACTTAATCGCCAACTGCTCCAAATCCCACATCTCGCCCAGTGGCATCCCCCACAACGCCAGAATGTTTTGATGCATGTAGTTGCCGTCAATCGGCGGCCAGCACTCGAACGTGGGCGAGTCTCCTGCAACCGCGGCAAAGTAGCAGTCGTGAAGCCAGTCCTTCACAGCCTCTTCTTGCTTCAAGCCCGCCCATTGGAGATCATCGTGTGCGCGCTCGGCAGCCGCCTTGCGCTCCGCTGGAGTCAGCTGGTCATACCGCTCTACAAACCCGGAGCGAACCATGAGGATGTCTCCTACTTTGATGTCGCCGCCTTGAGACTCCGGACGGAGATCGATGCCCTGGTACGTGGCGCAGGCTTTGAGGTCGTCAAAGGAAATGGGGTGCGCCGTATAGGGGTCATAGTCGAGGTTGTGGATTTTCGCATAATGGCGATAGTCGAGCAGGATGCCACGGCCGGCAATACCATGAACAGCCCAGTGGTGGATGCTGCAGCGGAGGTTCGCGTTCTCGCCGACGATGTCGGAGGGTTTGGTCTGCGTCTCGTTAGTGTGACTGACGGAGGGGATGGGGCGCAAGAGACACATACGCCATTGTAGAAGGTTTGAGAATCGATATGTGAGAACTGTGATCTGTTAGTAACACTACACCTCAGACAACAGCAGAGACTTGCTTGCAGCCTTACATGTCTGAACCCATCCCATTGCGTACCGCTTTGTGTGTTCAAAGTATACGTATCATCGTACGCCACGCCCTCGACCAGTAACTTGATTTTATGCTGAAAAGCCTCCCGTCCAAAAGCCGGCGTCTCGGGAACATTCAACGGAAGGCTATCTCCCATCAGTCATCTCTCTCAAACATCTGGGGACGGTGTCTCTCACTCAAGCCGAACCATTTCCCCCGTCTGAATCTCCGCCGCGGCAGCCTTCACCCGCTCCGGAGTAAGCAGATTCAATCTCCCAAGCTATGCACATCACATCAGCATCTGACTACAACTCCTCCGAAAAACCAAACTCACCGAGTCATCTTCACCCCACACCCAAGCCGCGCCTTCGGGAGCGCCGGTGAGCGTGGGCAACTCCTTGCGAGAAGGAAACCGCGTGCAAGAAGGATCCCAAGGGAGCCGGTCAGGCACTTGCACTCGAGAAGACATTGTATCAGGCAACACCGAAGCAGTGATGGGATTTGAGGACAAAGTATCGGCGACTTTCTTGAGTCGATCCGAGGCGACCATGGTGACGAGGAGTCCTTGTTTATATGGTACGTGAGACGAGCGATCATTGTGCTACAGCGTCGGCGGGGATGCTAGTTCATTGACGCAATTGTGGACAAGAAGAGAAGTGGAACCGAGACGATCCTCGGTATTTAGTGGTTTTGCAAACGGGAAGGTGGATAATGCTCGTCGACTGTCTTGTTCGATTGAGACGTGGGCCTTTTAGCTGTAGCCGTGGGATGATGGGAGCGACGAAGGGGAACCCCTTTGTTTCCCTTCCACTCCTTATATCGGCCATCATCCATAGTGCGGGGGAGCAGTGCAATAGTTTGGTCTATCCAGTGTCCATGTGTCCAGAATGAGAGAGCAGAAAGCTTGTTTGGCCGAGGTGAACAGGACAGAGTGTGGGAATTGACCCTGAAATGCGGAGGTTAAGGGACGATCATCCAGTTCATACTAGGCACTTCAGCATCGGGACCGTGCTTGCGCTATCGAAAGAACGAATCAACAGCTGCAGCAAGGGGAGAAGAGTCGGACTTCCCCCCAGTGAAGCTTGTCTTCAATGTGTCCAACATCCAGTTGCTGAAAGCGCCTCCGCACAACACAGGTAAATGTAGGCGGTTCTCCGCACGTCTTGAGCCGAGGATAAGTCCAGACTCCAGTATCTTCGGCCGACCCCTCGGTCATTATCGATCTATCTGAGTGAGCAGATGGATATTACAAGCTGTAGGACAAGGCATATTGGGCTAGGCTCGACGGCCCTTTTTTTGTGATTTTCATTCAGAATGATATCTTCTCGAATATGGTACATAATTCAGGTGTGTGCCTGCAGTCAACAGCCACATGAGAGATAAAGCCTTCAACAGGCAGGGCATCAACACATCAGCCAGATCCAGGACGAAGAGCAGACTACTTGTCCTGACACGTAAAGGGGAAATAAACTGTTCATCATCACCGTCTGTGCGGTCACCAAGGCCATGCAAGTGGTAAAATAGATAAACACCGTGAACGGAAACCAAATCAAAACAACACAACGCTCACCAAGCCCGCCGTGATTCGTACTAATTCCAATCGCAACATTAGAGCTTGATTGATATCGAGTATTTCGTAGGATGCGACCATCCAGACGCCGAAATTCATCAAAAACAACAGAAGTCGGTGAGTAAAATCGCTAATCGAACAGCATCAAGGAATCTCAAAAGAAATGAGACGGTGATTAGATCGGTGCAGGCACCCCGGTAGACTGCGAGTTGCTGCGTCCCCGATAGTTACCACGGCCTCGAGTGTTGTAGCCGCGGCCATAGCCACCACGGCCCCGGCCACCGTAGCCTCTGCCTCTGCCACGGCCTCTGTAATGACCGCGATAGCCATCAACGCTACCCTGGCCGAAGGTCTCAATGTTCCGTTTCTCTTCTTCGCCACGCCACTCACGACCGCCAGGTCGACCTCCGGAGCGTTCCTCGCGGTCGCGAGCCTCGCTGGAGATGTTGTCGAAGAATGAGGTAGACTTGTTGTAAGCAGAGGCACTGGTGGACGGCGCATGATGAGTGGTATCAACAGCTTCGACCTCACCGTTCTCGACGTGTGCTTCGGCCTCGGTCACAGGAGAGCCGGTGGCAATGGCTTCCTTGACCAGATCTTGCTTGTTGAACTTGGCATTGGCACTTTCAAAGTCATAGTCAGTGTCGGGAACTTCAACCTTCTTGGCTGGTCCCTGGTAATGGCCGCGATGACCACTACGTCCACCACGATGTCCACCACGTGGAGGACGGCCGCCTTCTTGCGTCTTCAATTCACCCATCTGCTTGGTCACGGCGTCCACAGCTGCATCCTGCACGGACTGTTTCGGAGCATTAGGCTGTGGCAGCTTGGCCATGGCGGCAGCAACCGCAGCAGTTGCAGCACGAGTAGCCTCCGTGATAGCGGACAATGCAGGTCCTTGTGACACATTATTTCCAGGAACACTAGCAAGAGGATTGGCTACAGCCGGAATAGGTGGCTTAGGTAGGTTGGTAACAGGAATCGCTGGCTGAACACGACCGCCCTTAGGTCCAGTCGGAGGTACCTTGGATGGTGTTCCAGGACCAGCTCCAAGAGCAGCTGCTTGCGCACTTTGAGAAGTAGAGGCCTTTACGGCTTCTGTTACGGAAGGCTTAGACTCGACGGGGGGTGGAGGAGGATTCTGTGCAGATGGAGCAGGGGCAGGTGTGGTGTTCCGGCTAGCGGGCTTACTCGTCTGCCGGTCACCAACCGGGAGCTCCGAAGTGGGCTTGGGTACATTTACAGGACCCGCGCCCGGGGCTCCAGCTCGATTCTGGGGAGAAGGAGTTTGGTGTGGTCCAGGGGCAGTAATAGGCATCTGAGGAGGAAATTGTCCTGGTCCTGGAGGAAATCCCTGACCAGGAGGAGGGTACCATCCCGGCGGAGCACCATACGGCATGTTCGGAAATCCAGGTCCAGGTGGGAAGCCAGGAGCGCCAAAGCGTTGTCCATAAGGTGGGTAGAAGCCTGGGAATTGTGGCTGTTGAGGATATCCAGGGGGGTTGGGACGAGGAACCTGAGATTGCTGCGGTGGTTGAGATTGAGAAGGTCCATGAGGGGCGGGTCCTGGGCGAGACATGCTCTGTTTCATTCAAGTCAGCAAATTGTCCAAGTTGCCACAGTCATGTCTGTAACAAAGAACACATTGCATGGGTTTCGTTGATCATCAGAAGGAAGGCAACGGAAATCTCTACACGGTTTTGCGCATTCAGAACAGGTCTGTGAGTTTACATCCGAAATATTTCATCACCTGATCAACCAACCCGACCGTGTCAAGTTGAGCAACTTGCACGCATGGGGTCCCATGGTATGAAGGGAAGGGGAAAGAAATCAAAGAAAGGACCGGTTGAACTTACCCCTAGGATAGCGGGATCGTCTGGCACCTGAGGAGGTTCAGGCTGTGCATTCTCCTTCTTCTCCTCGGCTACGCTAATGTCCTTTACATCACTCCCACGGAAGACAATGTATTCATAGACACTGGCAGACGGAGGGATCTCCTCAGCCGGATTTCCTCGTCTGCCTTCTGTTCCAAAAGAGACGACATTTTCAAGGGCTATTGTCGAGGCCTCAGGGTTGATCTCATGTAAAGTACCAACGTAACTAGGGATAAGCAAGTTAGTCAATGGCCGAGCAAGCGAGTCGGTTCAAATAGAGGGTCATCATACCGAATGTCACTCTTGGAGATCAGGTTGAAACGCTGACTGCTAGGTGTTAACTCCAGTCTACAAGCCGCACAAACCCCGGTTCAGACCAGTGTAGGCATTAAAGACTGACCCTATGAGATGGTTCATATCCATGCTGGACAGGGTTTGCGCGGACAACCGCGCCAGAAAAGGAGACGGAGGGAAGAGAGGGAAGAGGAGAGAGGAAAAGAAAAGAAATTCGATGAGAATTTATAGCTGCGAGAAAGAGACGGAAAGTAAGCGAGCGAAGCGAGAGAAAAGAGAGTAGAAGGGAAAAGGGTTGAGACCGGCTACCGTGTTTTTGTGGTGGGAAAGCTCTGAACTACGGCGAACCACAGGAGCTTAGTGAGCAGGTCCTTCGTCTCTTTTGCTCTTTTCTGCGGGATGCTCAGGATCCAGTCCCACCGCCAATGCTACCTACGGCTACACTGAACAAGAAAATACTTTATAATTCATTGAATAATTTCTAAATATCTGGCTACCATTTATATTCATCATGTCGCGTTCTACGCATCGGGACGACTTCTTTCAAACCTCGTTCGTGATGATTACTACCGGGTTGCTCTGTGTTGCTCCCTCTCACTAATTGTGCCTCCTAATTTTGCAGGGCTGCCTTGGAAGAGCAGAAGCGAAAAGACGCTAAATCTCGGAACACAGATGGGAGCCCCATCAAGTTGCAGAGTAAGATATTGGCCATTGCAGCAGATCCTGTGAACCCAGGTGCTGTGTTTGTTGCGCTGAGTACTGGAACTGTCCGGAACATCATATTAGAAGTAGGTGCACGGTATCCTTTTCGCTGGATGCCTGGTACTCGTAACTAAATCAATATTTCACTTCTTTTACTATTGTTGCAGACAGGTGAGACTGCTGCCGTTTTCAAGGGCCCGACTGCCCCGGTGACAAGCATCTGCTTCAGTCCCAATGGCAAGCTGTTGTTTGCCGGTTGCTGGGATAAGACCATTTGGAGCTGGGATGTGGCCTCAGGACAGCCGCAACATCGATATGAAGGCCACACCGACTTCGTGAGATCGGTCATCAGCTCAAGCCTACGTGGGCAAGATCTTCTGATTTCAGGAGGCGCCGATGCGCAAATCTTAGTTTTCGACATCGGCAGCGGAAAGCGCCTTTATACGCTCAAGGGCCACACCAAGGGTGTCCAGGACTTGATTATGGATCCGACTTCCCTCGACCCGGAGAGCAAGTCACTTGTTGTATTTAGTGCTGGCAGCGATCGAGAAATTCGTTGGTTTAACATTACCTCCGGCAGTCAAGATCTCACCGCCATGGATCCTCTTTTGGCTCACGAGACAAGCGTATACAAGTTGTTCTTCGACAGCGACGGAGATCTATGGACGGCTTCGGCCGATAAGACAGCCAAGTGTCTCGTGAGAGAGGATGGTTGGACAGCGAACCTGACGCTGAGTCATCCGGATTTTGTTCGAGATGTTGTAGTCTACGAGCAAGGTGGTTGGGTCATCACCGCATGCCGGGACGAGGAAGTTCGAGTATGGAATCGCTCGGTCAGTCAATGTCTATGGAAGAGCGACCTGTCCTCTATCACTAACCTCTATGATTCACAGACCGGTCAACTTTATCATACATTTTCCGGACACTTCGAAGAGGTTACGGGGCTCGTTCTCATAGGGTCTACCATTGTCAGCGTCAGCATTGATGCTACTATTCGCCAATGGTCTTTGAGACCTGACGACCTACGAAAGGCAGTGGAAAAAGTCAAGAGCGCCAAGGCTGAGGAGGAGGAATCTGAGCAAAACCCCGAATCGATGCTAACCGAGGAAGAAGAGCGGGAATTGGCGGAGTTGATGGATGAGGATTAATAGTGTTTGGGGCAGGATCATACTAGATACCATTGTCATATACCTGGAGCGACATTAACACACACGCATGTTACAGTACATAATGCCAGCTATCTACTTATTATTCTTCATCTACTTTCTAACGGCAGTGATCAACTCCATCGATCGACATCGAGTGTCGGTTGTCACGTGATAGCTTGATGCATAAATGACGCACTCCGGCGATGATCTCCCGGATGCGGGACAGACTAACGCCGGTAGCACATACTCTCCTCCCCCAGAGCCCAACTCTTGTTCACCAGAGGTACATACTTATTGCTATACTCGTGTAGTATTTGCAGTCCAACGGATCCTTGTCGCTTTTAGTTCTCCCCAGTCTGACCAGACGTCTCCCGTGCGGTGTCAGCCGAATCGTCGCCGTATCTTATCAGTGGGCAGCCCCTCCCTTCGTCGTATTCTTTTACGACAATTATCCAACTTGTTGACGACAGCTCGCTACACAATCACCTCCCGATTATGCAAGATGGCGACAACAGCAGCCATGCATCCTCAGACACACCTGGGCAGTGCAGACCATGAGCCGAAGCTTGTCAATAGGCTGCGGGATAGCAGGTCGCCTTATGTGAGACGCACATACTGCAGACAATTCAAGTTGCCGATTCTAATCTGTTCATCAGGTCAGAGCTCACATGAATAATCCGGTCGCCTGGCAATTATGGGATGCAGAGGCCATCGAATTAGCCAGACGGTATAACCGACTCATCTTTTTGAGCATCGGTTATTCAGCGTGTCACTGTTGGTTCCCCTTGCATGCACGTTGTGGCGGTGGTAATGTTAAGAAATAATGTGATCCAGGGTGCCATGTCATGGAAAAGGAATCTTTCATGTCGCAAGAAGTAGCCTCGTTGCTGAACGAATCCTTCATTCCGATCAAAGTCGACAGAGAAGAGAGACCTGATATCGACGACGTTTATATGAATTACGTCCAAGCCACGACCGGCTCTGGCGGCTGGCCTTTGAGTGTATTTTTGACACCAAATCTTGAGCCTGTGTTCGGGGGCACATACTGGCCTGGCCCGAACTCATCAACCCTCTCCAGACAGGACACAGTTGGATTCGTGGATATCCTGGAAAAACTGCGAGATGTTTGGAAGACTCAGCAGCAACGATGCCTCGATAGTGCGAAAGAGATCACGCGACAACTGAGGGAGTTTGCGGAGGAAGGAACACATTCCCAACAAGGCGATCGGCAGACGGATGAGGATCTGGACATCGAGCTTCTGGAGGAGGCATATCAGCATTTCGCTTCGCGATATGATACTGTAAACGGAGGCTTTTCCCGGGCGCCCAAGTTTCCCACGCCTGCCAATTTAAGCTTCCTCCTGCGCCTGAAGACATACCCAAGCGCTGTGTCGGACATTGTAGGACAAGAGGAGTGTGACAAGGCGGCTGCCATGGCAGTGAGCACGCTCATCAGTATGGCGCGCGGAGGAATCAGGGATCACATCGGCCATGGTTTCGCACGATACAGCGTGACCGCGGATTGGAGTCTACCCCATTTTGAAAAGATGCTTTACGACCAGGCTCAGCTTCTGGACGTATACGTCGACGCGTTCAAAATCACGCATAACCCTGAACTCTTGGGTGCCGTATATGACCTTGCCACATATCTCACCACCGCGCCAATTCAGTCGCCTGTGGGTGCTTTTCACTCATCCGAGGACGCAGACAGTCTGCCAACGCCTAACGACACGGAAAAGCGTGAAGGTGCCTTTTATGTCTGGACTTTGAAGGAACTCACGCAAGTTCTCGGCCAGCGAGATGCTGGTGTCTGTGCTCGACACTGGGGAGTGCTTCCTGATGGTAACATTGCCCCCGAACACGATCCGCACGATGAATTCATGAATCAAAACGTGCTTTCCATCAAGGTCACTCCGAGCAAGCTCGCAAGAGAATTTGGGTTGAGCGAGGAGGAGGTCGTGAAGATCATCAAGTCGGCAAAACAGAAACTACGTGAATACCGTGAGACGACACGGGTACGTCCTGATTTGGATGACAAGGTTATTGTGGCTTGGAATGGGCTTGCAATCGGCGCGCTCGCCAAATGCAGTGCCTTGTTCGAGGAGATCGAAAGCTCAAAAGCTGTGCAGTGTCGCGAGGCAGCAGCACGAGCGATCAACTTCATCAAGGAGAACTTGTTTGAGAAGGCGACGGGCCAGCTCTGGCGTATCTATCGCGATGGTAGCAGGGGAGAAACACCTGGCTTTGCAGACGACTACGCTTATCTCATCCACGGACTGTTGGATATGTACGAAGCTACTTACGACGACAGTTATCTACAATTCGCGGAGCAGCTGCAGAGTATGTTCCATGATCGCGGCTCATTTGGTCGAACTATACTGACGCACGCAGAATATCTCAACGATAACTTCCTTGCCTACGTAGGCTCGACGCCGGCGGGTTACTACAGCACGCCTTCCACCATGACACCGGGCATGCCGGGTCCACTTCTTCGTCTGAAAACTGGAACCGAGTCAGCTACACCATCCATCAATGGAGTCATCGCTCGTAACCTGCTCCGTCTCTCGGCACTGTTAGAGGAAGAAGAGTACCGTACACTGGCCCGCCAGACATGCCACTCCTTCTCCGTGGAGATCCTACAGCATCCTTTCCTGTTCGTTGGCCTTCTTGATGTCATTGTCGGACTCCAGACGACAACGCGGAGCGTAACGGGGGTTTTTTGCACTGCAAATCTTCCTCAGAGCGTTACTTCAGAGGGGTCTGGTAGACTCATTAACAAGCCAGACGAGCCCGTGTCTGTACGGGATATGATTATCAAAAAGATCCGGAGCGAGGCTGGGTCGACGATGGTCACTTCGGCTACGGTAACATCACTGGTCGACATCAGGCCATCCCATCTTGGTGACTTTGTTGGCAACCAATCTTTCTGGCTCAGGACTCGAAACCCGCTATTCAAAGAGCTCAAGCCATCGGAGCCGGCGAAGAATTATTTGATGGTCTGCGAGAGCGGCAGATGCACGATGGTTGACGTCTAAAAGTGCTGATAGAGTTAATTTTCGATTTTGCTTTGCTTGGTCAGCTTGGTGTTTCCAGGGTTTTCCTGATTCTTTTGGACTTTGAATAAGGGATAAGTGTACTCTATGCGGGTCAAACTCCGTGGCTTGCTAGAAGTTACCGCAACATCCAATCTAAAAAATCTTAGCTTTATTCGCCGAGTACTATTCTGCCAGAGTACGGAGTATCCTCTCACCTAAACCAAGATATGAGATCGTGTTGACC